GTCATACTTGTCCCGGAAGAAGGAGACGTGCGACACCACGTAGCTCGGGCTGCCGCGCCCCTTGCGCCTCAGGAACCTGTCCAGCACCTCCTTGATCGCCGTCTCCGGGTACTTATCCGGTATCCTATCCACGTACACCGATCTCCTCCTGTCAACCTCCTTGAAAACTCCATTCCCTCCTCCTCCTCCTCCTCTAGACCTCCCCCGGGAGTCTTGGAGATCAAACTCTGGAGTAACACTCTTGCTGACGGCGGCGGCGGCGGTGGCGATAGTGGCACCGATAGCACTGCTGCTGCTGCTGTTGTTGTTGTTGATGTTGCTGCTGTGCGGCGTTGGCTCGTCGTCTCGATCGTGCCCGTCTTCCCTGTACATGTCTTCCAGCTTCGAGTTGAAGTGCGGCTTGAGCCGCATATGGTCGAAGATTTCCTCGTCCCGGCTGTAGAGCTCCAGGGCGAGGCGAGCCAGGTCCTCTGAAACGAACACAACAAACGCACAGTACTTAGCCTTCACATGCCGCACCTCCGTCACCACCTCGTCCCCTAGCTCCGCCTTCTGCTCGCTCGTCATGTGTTCCAGCAGCACCGCCCGGAAGATCTTCCGGATGACCGCGTCGGACGAGTTCTCCGGGAGGTGGTCCGCGTACACCGTCTTCTCCGGGTCCGACCGCTGCTTCCTCCTGCCACCATATCCATCTTCACCTTCGTCACCATCGTCACCACCACCCGGAGCTCGCCGTTTTGGCAGCCGAGGCGTTGGGGACATGTTTCGGTCCGACCGGGCCCTGTCCAGCGCTGCAAAGCTCCGCTTCTTTTCCACCCCGTCGTTGCTCCGCCCCAGCTCCATCTTCATGTGGCCGAACTCCTCCGGGTGCCGGTTGTGGAGGTCCAGCATGTACTCGACCAGCTCCGGCGTCGCCAAGTCCACAAACATGCAGCCCCGCGACGGTACGTGACGGATCGCCGTGACGAGCTTGCCGTCCAGGGACTGGTTTATATGGCTTGCAATCACCTCCTCGAACAGCTTCCTCACTTGGTCCGCGCTCGTGTACTTCCCCAGCTCCGTCAGGTAGAGCGGCTTCACTTTCCGCCGCCCGGCATCCGCGAGCAAGTCGGTCCCAAAGTCGTCCCTGTCCCTGTCCGCTACTGCTTTGCCTCGCTGATCTTCCGCCACTAGCATATCGTAGACTTTCATGGCCGCTGGCGATGGCAGCTCCACCTTGAGCCCGCAGAACAAGTCCCTGTCCGCCGTGTAGATCTGCAGCGTAGCTTCCAGCAGCTCGTCGCTTGAAAACTCCACGAAGAACGAGTTGCTGTCTTCCGACGCGTACTTGACGTCCGAGACCATGTCTGGCGACTGCTCGAAGCCGGGAGGGAGCTCGCTGGTCTTTTTCACCCTCTCTCGCAACACATTCTCGAAAATCCCCTTGAGCATGCGGGGTGATGCGTAGTCGGGGCAGTTTGTCACGTAGAGTGGCCGCCTTGAGAGCTTCCCGTCCTTGCTTTCTCCAGGTGGCGGTATCGACTCTTTAGCAATCTCCATCGCCACTTGGTCAAGCAGCTCCAGAGTTTGCTTCGTGGCCCGTGCAAGACCGTTTTTCCTCGCACTGCTCAGGCGGAGTCCCACCTTGGCAGATTTTTTGGCGTCACCGTCCAAGACGACACCGACCATTATACTCGTCGACTCCTGGATCCTGTCTATGCTGCTGATCTCCTCGCCGTCACCTTGGAGTTTCCGGACCACCGAAGCTACTGACAAGGGGTCGAGCTGTCCGGGATACCACAAGATCTTTGAGAAGACACCGCGCTGGACAACGTCTCCCAAAGCTTCTGCGGCTCGCCGAACGAAGTACCTGGCCTCCGCAGAAGGACAACTTTCCGTGATGCGTGAAGATAACTTAAGATGCAGAGCTTCTGCATGGAAGAAAAATTGTTTTCAGAAGAAAGTTAAAGTGAAAGCCTCCTCACCTTGCTGAGGTTCCATGACATCCATCAGAAGAGTGACACCTTCGCAAGTCACCAAGAGAAGTAACATCAATCACAACAGCAGGAAAAATAACTGAGTTACTTACCATAATCCTCACGCAAGTGTCTCGCGTTTTGTACCGATGGAACCCAGGTTCGTATGTCGGGATCACAACTTCTCACAAACATCTCCGCATACGCCTCGTTCTCATCCTCTCCAGTAACTATCGTATACTCTTTTCCCTTTCGGTCTGGACTAGAACCAGCTCGCTCCTCCGAGCCTTGATGGTGGTGCTTCGTCACCTCTCCCTTCTCTTTCCCTTGCATTTTCGCCAACGGATAGTCACCATCTACCTCCGCCCGACCCTTCCGCCCCGCTCTACCATCGTCGTGCTTATCCGCCTCCGCCTCCTTCAAGCGCTTCCCATTGCTGCCTTTATAGTCCGGCGACCTCTCCCTCTTCTTCTTATCAAAAGCCTCATGCTTCTTACTCGGTTCCACCACCGTCACCTTCTTCCCTCTCGCATCCTTGGCGTTCTTCTCCACCGGAGGAAGAGGAGGCGGAGGAGGAGGAAGACGCTCTCGCTCCTTCTCCCTCTCCTTGGACCGGCTCCTCACTCTCTCCCTGCCACTCTGTCCTCCCCGGCCACCATTCTCCCAGGTGTGCGGGCCCCGGTCCTTGTCACCATCGCGATGGCGACCACCTTTGGTGGTGTCTAGTCGCGGGAGATAATCGTAGTTGCCACTTCTCCTCGCATAAACACTCTCTCTGTTGTCTCGGGTGTCTCGGTCCCGATGGTCCGCCTCACGGTCCCGATCACGACGTGGTAACCGTTCCCTGTCCTGCTCCTTGTCCCTCTCGTGGTCCCTATGCCGGTGCCTATCCCTTGCCTTCCCCTCTGCCTCACCACCATTGGATTTGGATTTCTTCTCGTCCTCGCCATATCTTTTCCTTCTATCGTAGCTTGCATAGGCCGCAGCTTCTTTTCCACCTTGATCCTCGCTAACCAGTTGTCCTTCCTCCAAGTCCTGCTGCTGGTGCTTGCTATCTCCAGATAAATCCACATTTGGAGCTGGAGGTGGTTTGTCTTCCACTAAAACGTCCTTCTTACTGCTAGTGACTGGCTCGTCGTCGATATTCGATGCTTCATCCTTGAGCCAAGCGAAAGACTCGTCCTCGCCATCCCCGGCCGGAGAGAGTGAGACGAAGCCGTAGAGGAAATCCTCGTCGGACGAGCTCAGCTCTCCTGGCTCGGCCTCGCTGAGCGCCGACGCAGGGACAAGGTAGAGGTCCGCAAGCCACACTTTATCTTCGTCGTGGAGAGGTACCACCGCGACCAAAGGACCTTTGAGTGATAGGCCGGGATCATTTCCCGTGCCACCACCAACAAGGAATTCCACCTAGAAAAAGCAAGAGGAGCACAAGTAAGAAAAAAGTTCACAAACACACACACACGCACGCACACGAAAAAGAAGAGAAAATGACAGTTGACGAATCCATATCCTCCCTTACCAGCTTGTTCAGATTCGGAGACGACGCGCCGGATGATCTTTGCGTCACTTTGACACCGGGCTCGGCTACGTACTCCTTCACAGCTCCCAGAAATCTACACGCGTAATGTTAGAGTACACAAGTAGAAAACACGAAACTTTCAACGAAGAAAACATGGAACAAAAAATGGACAGCACCAAAAACACCAGAAAAAAAAAAAAGAGAAGAAAAAAAAAGCAAAGAAAAACAAAAGAGGTCGTCCAGAGTTCACGTACTTGTCGGTACTGGCGCAGCGTTGCACGGTGAGATCATCCGCCACCTTCCGGTTCTTAAAGACGTGTTGCCATCCCCTGGAGCATGCGGCAACCATGCTAGGGACTTTAACATCTTGGAAGTTAATCTGTCCTTGCCAGATCACACTCACGAATTTCGAGTCGTCGAGGGGGTCAGAGTGATCGTGGTGGATCATGGTCTCGCTACTGGCGTTGTTGTTCTTGGTGGCGATGGTGGTGGTGGTCGAATCCACGGTAGCAAGAGGAGGAGGAGCGGGCGAGCTCTCCTCCAAGGTGGTAATCGAAGTTTTCTCCTCTCGAGCATCGATAAGATCGATCGAAGAGCAAATCTTGTCATGAGATACCTCTAAGTCTGTGGTGTTCTTCGTCACGTTGTCGCTGGGATGATCGTTCTCGATCGGGAAGAACTCACATAAGTTTCCTGGCGCGGTGGTGTTCTTGGGTTCTTCCTCTTCCCCCACGCCCGCGCGGCCGTTCGAGTCTACGGCATTGTCGTCCGCCCTCTCGTCGCGAAACAACATCTGGAAGCTCGTAGATCTAACCAGCGCCGGCGCCGCCGGCCTCTGGGATCTGGGCCACGACGCGGATCGCTGCTGCTCCTTGGCGGCGGCGGCGGCGATGGTGGCGGAGGAGGAGAGGCGCCACTGCTTGGCATTTAGATCATCATCGTTTTCCTCGCTGGGTGGGGCTGGAAGCAAGCCCCTACATTCGCTCCCGGGCTTCTCCAGCTGAATCTCTTCTTGACTCGCTTGGATCTCCGGCACGGCGCCTTGTTCTTGCGCCTCTTCTTCCAAAGCCCTCTTTATTGGCTTCCACTGCTCCACCGTGTGCGCTAGAAGTGACAATCCCGAGCAAGCGCCCTCCTCTTCCTCCTCCTTGTCGAGCTCTCGCGCTGGCGATAGATCTTTCTCCTTTCGATCTTGCTCCTCGGCAGCCGCGGCGCGAGCCGCCGATGCCTCTGGCGCTAGCGGCTCATCCGCCGGCTCATTCAGATCAAACATCTCTTCCTCTTTCTCCAGCGCCTCTCTAGGGAAGGAATCGAGAGCTCCGGAGAGAACCCTAAAGCTCGAATCGCGGGGAGAAGCCACGGCCATGGCCATGGCCACCGCCGGCTGACGGCAATCGGACGGCTGAGATGCCTCGGCAGTGGACTTTTGCGGTGACACGTGTCGCGTCCCAGCCGCCCGCTGTAGGCCCATCCTGTACGCCGATAGTGGAAGAGAATCTAACGGACGCTTGTCGCCCACGTCAGCCTGATACATATCCGACCCGTTTGAAAACCAGTATTCCAATTCACAACGTGGGGGGCCATGTGATAAGGCGCAAAAACTAAGTCACCGTTCGTGATCCAGATGATAGCTCTCGAGCCAAGCCTGGAACTTGGACAAGGATTCCTGTCACTGATCCATCGCCGATTTTAATCTCCAGCCCGGGACCGCCGCATTGTTTTCTAATGTAGCACAGTCCAAAATATGGAGCTTCTCTCGTGCAGCTCGTCAGCTTCCCGGCCTTGAAAAAGGTGTGAAGCTATGGAACGCAGGTTTTGAGAAAAAATGATTTGAGTACCTTGACACCATCTCTTGTCGTCAGGATCGTTCCTGGTTCCACAGCTCCGGTGAGTTTTACACCGTGCAAGTGTTGCTTGACACCGTTGTATGTGATTAGTCTCGCCACTGTTTCCTGCCCGATGTAGCAACCTGGGAAATGTGCTTGGCTGGTTTTCGTTTACGACGAAGAAAAGAAAAAATTAACCTTTGGTTTGCGAGATTGTCCTCCAGAGTCCAGCTTCCAGGACGTTGAACTCGTCGGTAAGCTCCTTGCCAGGAACTGGCCTGCCTGCGCTTGCACGTCAAGAGCCTCGGTTTTCATAAAAAACAATCGATTGATTCTTCCATTACCTTGCAAGATTCGCAAGCGTTCCCAGGCCGAAGATCCCATTGGCAAAGCACCGCATTTTAATATCGAGGTCCACACAGGACCCGCGGCGGCAGTGGACACGAGGAAAGAGTAGCCTTTCGTGCACAGTCCAGAGCCGACTCCCACGGTTACAGGTGCCCCATTCGCCTGAAAAGTTGAACGAGATCAAAGTGTCATCAACTTTCCTTGGCATGAATGAATGCTTACGGTGTAGTGTACATGAGTTCCGTATGGCTTATCGATCAAAGACTCCAACTTTAGCTGCCGCATAACCTTCAACAGGAAAGCATGATTGTTGCTTGAACATAAAGACAAGGGGGCTCTTACTGACATTATCGCTTTGGGGGCCTACGATTGAAAAATAGGAGGTCTTCTCTGTGATATCATCCACTTCCACTTTGTCCGAAAAGAAAATGTACCTAAACCAAAGAAAAAGTTGAGGTCTGACAAAGTCGGGAAGAAATCGACAAGTTACTTATTGAGCAGTTTGATAAGATCGTGCCGAGTCTCTGGAGAAACGAGAAGAATCACAGCCGTATTCTGCACCAATCATCAAGTCTGCTGCAACCATTCCAAATCAACAGAAACGTCAAAGCGTGTAAATCCTCACCATCGCCCATGCGGTTGCTAGATCGATTGTTCTTGCGGTGTTCGTCACAAAAACTGTATCGCACCCCTGAAAAGCTTTTGATATCAGGAAAACTAACTCTCACACGCTACGTAGGACTTACCTCCCCGTCCTTAAGCGGCAGAAAATCAGCAGTACTCTGGTTGTGCAGAAACCGCAACCGGTCGTCACCAGTGACTGGAATAATAAAAGTCATCAGCGTTTGCAGCACAAACAATAGTATAGAACATTCAAACCCCGGAGTCTTCCAAAGTGAGACATCTCTATCACCTGTCAGTCGAGAAAATTAAACATCGTAGAAAAAGCGCTGAGAAACAGTTCTCTTACAGCACATCCGGAATCGGCCGCTTTCAATGCTTCCTCATCGTTTCCAAACGTCTGGACGATGCCATTGTCGGAGATCTGTGCACCGGTTTCGAGCAAAACATCCTGGAACATCACAGCTTACCATCAAATCCAGAGCAAACTCTGCTCTGCTAGCAAAAATTCTACCTCCAAATCATTTTCTATTGGCGGAGGAACGACGTCAGGAACAGCGGCCATGACGACGCGACGAGCATCAAATTTCCCACTCAAGATCCTCGCGTGAATCCGTGATCTACTGCAAACCTTCTTGCTGAATGCGGCGTCGCGAGCCAAAGATCTGGCCTGTGGGACCGCGGCGGCGACAGCGCCAGCGCCTGGAACGCACAGGCTCGCCATGGCCGGATAAACCCTAAAAACAAAGAACAATGGCCGCGATATTCAAATGGAAGCACGAATCATCCAAGCTCTCAAGAGCTGCGCTGATAGCAGAGATCTCGCCCTGGGAAAGAAGATCCACGAGCAAATCTCAGTCACTGAGAATCTCGGGAAGAACACGCACCTTGCCAACAGCGTCCTCGACATGTACACGAGCTGTGGATGCGTGACCGAAGCCCGCAAGCTCTTCGATTCGATCGAATCCCCCAATGGCTTCTCCTGGAGCCGGATCATCGCGGCCTACGCGCGCGGCGGGCTTCTGCGAGAGACGCGAGAGCTCATCGATGCGATGCCTGGGCGAAATATCCGCGCCTGGAACACGATCATCGTCGCGTATGCCGATCGCGGGCGTCTGGAAGAGGCGCGATCCTGCTTCGAGAGGATGGACGATCGAGACACCGTGTCGTGGAATGTGATGATCACTGTCCACGCCAGGGCCGGGCGGCTGCGCGAGGCCTGGGGATTCTTCCAACGAATGCGGCAGCGGGATCTCGTCTCCTGGCACGCGATCCTCACGGGCTACGCGCACAGCGGTGAATCGGCGCTGGCGAGGGAGATCTTCGAGAGAATGCCGAGGCGAGACACGATTTCCTGGACAGGAATCCTCCAGGCGAGCGCAAGAGCTGAGAATCTCCGCGAATGCAAGCGAATCTTTGATGCTATGCCGCAGAGAAACATGATCTCCTGGAACGCGCTCATCGCCGCAAATACCCTAGCGCGGCAACTGGATCAAGTGAAAGAACTCGTCGCGAGGATGCCACTCCACGAGGTCGTCTCCTCCACGGCGCTGCTCCAAGGCTTCTCGGATCAAGGAAATATCGCCAGAGCTGAGGATCTCTTCGCATCTCTCCCCCAGCGCGATGCCGTGGCTTGGAATGCAATGCTCCAGGCATACACCCTAGCCAAGAACATCGCCCAGCTCCATCGATTCTTCGACGCCATGCCCGGGCGATCCACCGCCGCCTGGAACACGCTCCTCCAGGCGCACGCCCAGGCGGGGCACACAGATCAATGCAGACGAATCTTCGCTGCGATGCCCGATCCAGACGCGATCTCTTGGAGCACCCTCATCCAGGCGTTCGCGCAGAATGGCCACGGCGATCTTGGCGTCGAGCTCTTTGGCGCGATGATCCTGGATGGCGTCGTGCCGACCGCGATCACGTTCATAAGCGTGCTGAGCGGATTCAACCACGTCGGGATGCTGGATCGCGGCAGGGAAATCTTTCACTCGATCGCGGCCGGCCACGGCCTAGCGATCACGCTCCAGCACTACAGCGCCATGGTAGGGATTCTGGGCCGATCGAAGCTGCTGGACGAGGCAGAGGAGCTGGCGCATTCAATGCCATTCTTGCCGGATGCTCAAACCTGGACAGAGTTGCTCGCTGCGTGTGTGCTCCATGGTGACCTGGAACGGGCTGAGAGAGCTGCGACGTCCATCCATCAACTGGAACCCAAGTGCCCCTCCTCTTTCTTGCTTTTATCTAGCACATACACAAAGAGTTTCATTTTAATTACATAACTTTAGCCCTATAATTAATTTTTCAAGTATATTTTTGGTTTACTTTAGAAAGGGTGTAACGAATATTTCTAGAATATTTAAGTATATTTTAAAATATTCCTCAAATGAAACAGATAAACCTCTAATTATTTTATAATTAGTGTTTACTGTTAATTTGTCTTCTTAGGATAATATAAACTGTGTTTCTTTTAAAATGTTTAGTGTTAATTGAGTACATTGTCTATTGACTTAGTTTATCAAAGTTGATGACAACAAAATAATCTTACTGCCATAGTATGGATTAATAGCTCTATAAAATTCACGATAAAGGTTCTTTGCAGTTCCTCCTCTGAAGAAACTATTATTCCAGGAAGCTTAACACCAATGCAACTGTGTGGGAAGGACAAGAAGTGCTGCGGAGAGTTGAGATTTCCCAGTTCAGGTTTGTTTCTCGTTTCTGGGAGAATAAAAGCTTTTTCTTGTTCTTGGGCTGCAAAAGCTACAAAGAAAAACCCAGCATGATCTCTACAAGTAAGAACTAGAGTGTGAAAGGTCTGTAGAGCTCTTGAGGAGGATGCGTTCCTGCCCATACTTGGGCCATTTCGCTTGCAGCTCTCAGTGCCAGAGGTATGGAGCAAAAAATGATTCGAACTTTGCTTTGGATTTGTTTGGAAGCTAGGACGGAGTAAAGAAAGAGATTTTAAGAATACTCTCTTGAGTCTGTAAGGAAAGAATTGTTTCTTCTTGTTATGGCTAGAAAGCTTTCTTCCCTTTTCCACACCTATTTGCAAGGTCTCGGTGATCATTGTTAAAGAATGGGGATGCCTCATACAATTAGAAAGAAGTAAATTCATTGTTTCATTGATGTTCTTCTTCTAGGGTTCTTTACTCGGCAGAGCTGAGATTTGGCGTCAGCCTTGGCCTGCTTGTTGAGACCTTGAGCACGTTTTCTTCAACTAGTACCACTGGGCTTGAGACTCGTATCCCAGGTCAGACATGCAGTCCTCAAGTAAGTTGACTGAACCGATCTTCAAGTGAAAGCTTTTGTGATCCCTCAGGCTCAGTACATGCATCCGGATTGAATGTTAAAGTGATAGACTGAAAGGGGCAGCTGTGAAAGTGGTCACCGTGGAAAAGTTATTGATATCACAAAATGTTGTCCCAGTGATTCTGATTTCAGGAATAAGTGTTTTCGAAGTCACAAGTATCACATTGATTATTCAAGGAACAGAAGAAAACTCCTCCGAGAAGCTTGCCCCGGTGAGGAACAGGACTGTATAATCTTTAAAGTTCTTTATAACTAAAACGAGGGTTTTAGGGTTCTTCCATGATTTAGGGTTCTTCGAGGAGATGGGCTGCTTGGCGATCGATCTTGCGGAGATCGTCTGTGCCAACTCGCGTTGTAAGTCTCCCTATCAGCTGGCGTTCCTTGATCGACCGATTGCTCCGCCTGCAGATTTTGACGAATTGGTGGACTTGATTCCTCCGAAGTTTTATCTTCCCGCTGATGACAATGTGGAGAAACAATGGGTAAGCTCTTCTCTACCTCGGAGCATTGCGGTGTGATTTACTGCTCCTTTCTGGTATAATGCAGGTGTTTGGGATGACCAAGAGAGAAAAACGAGAGGCGAGGAGATTAACGAAGGAGCACTCGAAGAAAGCGCGGAGAGATCGTGTATGGTGTGCTAGAAAATAACTCTTTGGTTTGCCTTGCCCTTCATTGAAGCTTTTGTAACTGCAGCTCGATCCAGAGAAGTTCGTCACAACTTTGCAAGTTTTGCAGCAACGAAATGAAGTAGCGGAGGCACACGCAGAGAAAGAGGAAGAAGACGAGGAAGCGAAAGCAGAAGAAAACGGCAAGGGAGACGCAGAACAAGGTAGGCTGTTTTCCGTCGAACCAATCCGTTTCCACGATTGAAGTCGTGGATCTTGCAGCTCCCGTTGCTGGGACGGAACGCGTCAAGTCGAGCCAGGAACTGCGAGAACGGCTCCACAAGCGAATCGAGGCGATACGAGCTGAGAGGCGAATAAACAAAGCTCGGGACTGGCAGGAAAGGACCAAGGACGCCTCGAAGAAACGCAAGAAGTCGGAGAACAAGACCACTCAGGCCAACAAGCGGCAAAAGCAAGTAAGAATCCTCGTGATTTATTCACATGAGCGTCAAAACACTTTCAGGGCCACAAGGAAACTGGGATTGTTCCAGTTTCGAGCGAAAAGGTCCCAGTTGCGAGTGATATGGAGTTTGGCCGGGTGAAAATAGACTCCCAGAAGCGAACTCTAAACCGGAAGAGCAAGGAAAAGCTGCTCGAACAGGTAAAGAACTTATTCTTAGCTAGTCGAGTTTTGATCGATGGTTTTTTTCTAGGCTACGAAGCTTCAAAAGGATATCCAAGACACCGAGAAGGGCAAAGTAAGAACTGGATTTCCTTCTTCTAGAGAAAGAAACAAAAACTCACCACTGCTTTCTCTACAGGACGTTGCATCAAAGCACTCGTGGGACGCAGCACTCAGCCGAGCTTCCGGACAGAAAGTAAAGCTTTGTTTTTCTGATGATCTATAATGTCTTTGATGATTCTACTTCAAGGTCTTCGACAATCCCAAGCTGCTCAAGCAAAGCTTGAAACGAGAGCACCAACGTCGCGAAAAGAGTGCAAAGAAATGGTCAGTGCTCCATCAATCTCACTCTGTGAAAGCGAAAATCTCTCTTCTTTCTTTCCAGGCAAGATCGACACGATAGCGAAGCACAGCGAGCTCAAGAGAAGCAACAGACCCGGGCCTCTCATATCAAGGAGCGCATTGACGCTCGCAAGCAAAGGCTCATAGCGAAGGTTTGCAAGCTTGTTACATTGATTGATCTGACTCTCTTGTTTACACCACAGAGGGAGAAGAAGCTAATGCGACCCGGCTTCGAGGGAAGAAAAGCTGGCTTTCTCAACGAAGCCAAGTAAAATCGCCACGAACCTCTGATAAAATAACGACGAGGACGAAGAAGAGAAAGAATCTGTCCTACTTATTTAACTATACAAGCTCTTGGTTTCGAGCTTAACCTGTCAAAAAGGAGCTCTGTAGTCCTGTTCCAGTCCCTGTTCCTGGCTCTGGCTCTTGAACCAGTCGGCTACTTCCTGGCTAGTGATCTCCGGCTGCACGACAGATCAAAAGGTGGTCAATTGATTCACGAAAGGGGCAACCAAGAAGAACTTACTGCAACCCCAAGGGAGAAGTCCATCTCGTTGCTAAAGTTCAGGATGTCCTCCTCCTCGCAACTTATCCCCGCGACCTCCGTGAAGGCTCGAATCTCCTGGCTACTAAGGTTCTCGAACTCGGTGGCAACGTTGTTGAAACTTTCGTCGCAGAGCAGCTCCTCTATCACTCTCTCGGCAGGGGTTTGTGGAAGAGGCTGTTGAGCAGTCGGACACCTCACGAGGGACATGCCAGAAGTTGACGCTCCCTGAAAAATAAAGAGGGAGTTAGTCTTGCCAAGAGAAAACGAGCAAAAGGTTACGCACATAGTAGCCGTCTATCGTTGGGCACATCTCCGCCAGCTGCGGCACCGGTCTGCTCGGACAGGGCCTCACCACCTCTGGAGTGCTCGTCGAGCAGGGCCACACCACCTCTGGAGTGCTCGTCGAGCAGGGCCTCAGCACCTCTGGAGTGCTCGTCGAGCAGGGCCACACCACCTCTGCAGTGCTCGTCGAGCAGGGCTTCACCACCTCTGGAGTGCTCGTCGAGCAGGGCTTCACCACCTCTGGAGTGCTCGTCGAGCAAGTCCTTGCCACCTTCGCAGACTCATCGTTCTCGGGCTCGCAAGCGAGGGCCGCCTCCAACTCGCGGCTGAACGAGGCTTCGTTGACGTCGTTCGAATCGTTGGCCTCAGCTACTTCGGCTCCTTCGTTGGCTTCGGCTGCTTCGTTTGCTTCGCACGGCTCGCGCACAGAGCCTCGAGGTTGAGTTTGGAAGAACACTTTGGACATGACCAGCTCGCCCTCTCTTTCGTCTTCGTGAATGCCGACGTGGTACTGATGGATCACCCAGTTTGTCTTCTTTGGCTTGGACTTCTTCTTGAAGTTCGTGTAGAGAACCATGATCTTCTTCCAGCCAATGACCTCGCCGTTCTCCATCACGGGCCTTGTCTTTCCGGTCTTGTGCCATCGGGTCTCGTCGTCATCGTCCGTCTGGACTTTCCGGCGCTTCCGGGTGCCTTTGGTGTATGCGTTGGACGGCCGGTGGAAGAAATGGCTGCTGCTTCCATCGCTCTTCACACCTTCAAAGCGAACGTTTCAGTGCCTCGGCCAAAAAAAAAAAAAGAAATAGGAACTAGCGTCGACAAACCTGGCAACTTCTCGGGATGCTTGGAGCAAATCCCTTCGTCGTCTTCCAGAGTCGGAATAAACTCGTCGATGAGAGCATGCGGCTTTCCACCGCGACCAATCTTTGCCGCAAGATGGTCCAGAATTTCTTTGTCATTCGGATCAAACTTCACTCCGGCGGGAAGCCCAGTCCAATCTTGTGGTGCCTGCGACGTAGTTTTTGCAGCAATGGGTACGCTCTCGGAAAAGAAATGAAACAGTAACTAGCTCCATACCAGTTCATTGTCATTGTCGATGGGCTTGTTACAAGTCGGGCAGACGTGTTCCGGCGCATCGGGAGTAATCCTCTCGACCCCTCCAGCGTTTCTAACCTTCTTCGCAAATCTACTGCTATGAATCCATGTCATCCTAGAAGAGAAACGGGAAGAGAGAAAAAAAAAACCTCGTTATCATAACCACCAAATAAAAGTCTACCTCTTTTCACGGAGGAAGACGCCGATCGCCAAGCGCTGCCTCGAAGATGAAGCTCAGGAACGGGGAGAATGCGAATCTGGCAAGCGCCGCGAGGAAATTCCTATCTCTGACCGCGCAGACGATCGAGCAGCAACGAGAAATTGATCCGGCAGGAGAATGCAGCATCGATGCGTCGATTGTCGCGGCAGAGCCCTCGCTCCTCCTCGCTCTCAAAACCCTACAAATATGGAATCGGACAAAGGCGCCATGGAGCTCCAGTATATATGTGTGCCCAGGCTCGGCAAAACGGCTTTGGCTCGGCTTTGCCCGAGGCTGGCACTGTTAGGTCTCATGGGCTTGAGTAACTCACAAGATATCTACGAGGCATTTTCTTCTCCCTCGAGAATCGAGCGCTTGACCGCCTTGCCTCAAAGCGCCAAACAGTGAGAGAGAGAAGAAAACCCTAGGAGAGCGCCAGAGCTACGCAGCGAATTTGCTCAATGCAGGCGCCGATTCGAGGGTGTAAGCAAGGAATCGAGGTATGGATGTGGATTTCGTGTTTGATTGGAAGAGATATTCTGACGATCAAGAATCCAGCTCATTCGATTGGGATAGTTTGAGGTGATTTGCTGGATCGAGTAAGCGCATCATTCTTTTCTTCGTGATTTTCGCAGTAGGGGGATTTCTCGTTGATTTGAAGAGGGATTGACAATATCTTGACGATCAAGAATCCAGACGAGGCGATCGGGATAGTTTGAGGTGAATTTTTTCTGGATCGAGTAAGTTTTCACCTATCTAGCGTCATAGTTTTTTTCTTCTTCTTTTTCTTCGTGATTTTCGCAGTAGGGAAGCATGGCCGAGCTGGGCCCTGTCCACAAGTATGCGGCAGGCGCGTTGTTTTCGCTTGCTTTGAACCAGGCACAAAGCCATCAGCGAAGCTTGCCACCAAGAGTAAACGATGATGAAAATGCTATTGCCGAAGGTAGCCAGGAAGAGGAGACGCCATGGAGCAGTGAGGAGTTTGGACTCGCGCAGCACGTTTTCCGGTGAGCTGAAAATCTTCTTTGTCAATTGTAAGTGTTTGAAGTTGCCGACTAGATACTTGGATATCGAGAAGAAGTCGTGGATGGGTTTGGAAACGACCGCTATTTCTCCCGACGCTAAACACCATATAGGTGCTGTAAGTATATACACATTTGTTCTTACTGTTGCAATGGACACTAATTTGTCCTTAGTTTCTGAGGCTCCTGTCCGAGGAAGATGTGCCAACCACGTCAGAAACTTTGCCCGAAGACGACCTGGCCAAAGCCATAGATGCGATGAGCCTGAAACTTGAAGAGTCTTCTTCAACTTCTCCAACGCGGAACGCGAATCCTCCGTCTAGAGACAGCGAAAGCTCGTCAGCACCACTCTCGGATCAGAGGTGTTCCATTTCACAGGAGATAGACAGTTCGGTGCTTACGAGGCAAAGGAAAGTGGCCGTCCTCTACGAACTTCTTGTTGCTTGTGTTGCTGATGCATCAGACGAGAAGAAAGCATTCAGAGGTGGCTACGATTCTCGATACAGAGTCACATTACGACTCTTGGCCACATGGTTTGACGTAAAATGGTCGAAAATGGTCGGTGTTGCAAGCTTCAGTTGAGCTACTAATCTTATCATTTTGTGGCAGGCTGCTATGGAGGTTATGGTGGCATGCATGGCGATGGCTGCACGTAAAGAGCAGAGCACAGCAGAAGCAGAAGCTGAAAAGAGCAAATGGTCCAAGTGGAAGCGTGGAAGTCTCATAGGCGCAGCAGCAGTGACGGGAGGGACGTTGCTAGCAATTACTGGGGGTTATTCTTTAAGCTTGTCTTCCTCACAGAGGTTTACCGTTTCGATACAGGTCTAGCGGCTCCGGCAATTGCAGCTGGTTTAGCCGCTTTAGCTCCGGCAGCTGGAACGGTTGTTCCTATCATTGGAGCAAGTGGTTTCGCAGCAGCTGCTGCTGCAACTGGAACGGCTGCTGGCTCAGTTGCAATCGCGGCGTCATTTGGAGGTAGTGACTTATCAGAAGTATTACTAACCACTTACTTTCTCACAGCTGCTGGTGCTGGTTTAACGGGATCCAAAATGGCTAGAAGAATTGGTGATGTTGACGAGTTTGGTTTTGAGGCTATTGGAGACAACCATAATCAAGGAGTAGGACCTACTACTAGTGGTTTTTATGCTGATAGTTTCGTTTGTAGAGACTGGCGGTTGCTATTGTCATATCTGGGATCATTTTTGAGGAAGATGACTTCACCAGGCCATGGATATTTCCAGACGCAGATCTTGAAAGGTACTTCTTCCAAGTGTATCGCAGGCAGCTGAGCGTGTGATCAGGTACTCTTTACGCTGGGAAACGAAGATTTTAATGGCTGTGAGCTCTGCTATTCAAGATTGGCTGACCACAGGTATTCGATAGACATAGCTCTCATGGAATTCTAACAAAGCTAATTACACAGCGGTTGCAAAGGAGTTGATGAAACGAGGAGCGATGATGACCGTTTTGAGTGGCCTACTTGCAGCACTAGCATGGCCTTCTGCTTTGCTGTCTGCTACAGACTTCATCGACAGTAGATGGACCATCGCCGTTGACAGGTTCGAAGTTCTATTACGAACTGGCATAATCCGTGATGTTCTAGATCTGACAAGGCTGGAGAAATTCTTGCGAATTGTCTGCTCAGCGGACTCCATGGCAGCAGGTAACTTTGTTCTTCTCGGCGCTTGCCTTTCTGGTATTATGCCGCTTGTTCACAGGCCTGTAACGCTCTTGGGATTCTCCTTAGGAGCTCGAGTGATTTTCTCGTGTTTGGAGCACTTGGCAAAGAAAGGAAATGGTATGCTTTTATTTACCTGGCGAGAGCTCATGATTCTCGTTACAGGTGGCATTGTAGAAAGAGTGGTGTTATTGGGAGCTCCTCTTTCTCTTGATAGAAAGCGGTGGATGAATGCTCGTAAGGTATGTTTTCCTAGTTCCATTTCTTTGTTAGTTCTGTTTTATTTATTTATTTATTTATTTTTGCAAGATTGTGGCTGGTAGATTTGTGAACTGCTATTCATCTAACGACTGGATCTTGGGAGTCATATACCGTGCAAGGTGAGCTTCTCTTGACCAGCATTCTATCATCTATGATTAACGATCCGGGGTTCTCACAGCATTTTGTCCCAAGGCCTTGCCGGGATACAACCAGTTGCTCTCCCAGGGATAGAAAACGTATGTATTCACGCACCGCTTTCTTTCTCCACAAACTTTTCCTTTCAGGTCAATGTAACGCATCTGATCACCGGCCACTCCTCCTACCTCTCAAAGATCCCAGAGATTCTAGAGACGATTCATCTGGACAATTACTTCCCAGTCTTCTTCTAGGACAAAAGAAATATGAACACCAAAGGTTGGTCTTAGTAGTAGAGTATCGATTTGAGTCAGTGTCTCGAGCTGGCTAACACTACACTTTTCTCATCAGGAGATACAGGCGCTGGTCCAGCTTTAAGTTGCCCAGGTGCTGCTTATCCCCCTTGAGCATCATCAACAGGCCTCCGAAAGAAACATAGACGCCGCTGGAAACGATTGATGAAGAGAAACTTCAAAAACTCGGTAAGAAAGCTCGCTTACATCTTGATGGCACCGCCGCTCTCGTCGTCATCGTACTTGTACAGCTTCCCATACATGACATACTCGTACTTGTCGGCCAGAGATTTCTTCCGAGACTGCGAGAGGTCAAAGTGAGCCAGAGAAGATCCGAGCAAATGGAACCTGGTCGAAGACGCCATCGTCTGGAGTTCCATCCAATCGCAGCGTGGAGGAGAGCGCGAGCGTGAACTTGTCAGTCCTGGCGATGGGGTAGACGTCGATGTTCACGTCCAGGACGAGCTGCATATCAAACTGCTCGCTCCGGGCCTCGATGCGAGACACTGCTCATCACACGAATCCAGCGAAAAACAAATCAAATCGATCGCTCTCCTCGCTCGAAATGCCGAGAGCGAGGCGATCACCTTTGTCGAATTTCTTGCCGTCGGTGTCGATGCCGGTGATGGTGAAGATGTCCTCGAAGAGCAGCAGCTCCGCCATGGCTGGGCTGGATCGATAAACCCTAAAACTCGCGTCGTGGATATTCCTCCCAGATTTGGCCTTGTGGGTCTTATATAAATAGCGGGACGAGAGCGTTTGATAGGGCTTTTGGCTTGCTTGGACGATGGCGTTCCGCTCCACGGCTGCGAGGTTCCAGCAGGTGATCACCACCGCCGCCAAGACCCCCGCCAAGAAATCTCTCGCGGATGCGAAGAAGATGGCGTCCTTCTCCAAGAAGAACGCTCCCGCGGACTGGGTCCAGCGATCCGACCACCACCTCATCACCATCGACATGCCAGGTATGAAATCTTCGCTGCGGAGAGGGAATCACTCGAAGCTCTCAAAGAAATCCTTTCATAGTTGATGATATGGCGATGGTTTTGTGCCCCCAGGATTGTCTCACGAGGATTTCAAGATCACCACGGATGCCAACGAGATAACCATCAAGACCAAGGAGCGCGAGAGGGTGGAGCTCGAGGATGATAAGTGGCACGCCAAGGAGCGCTACGTTGGCGCCGTAGTTCGCAAGTTTGAGTTCCCTGAGGGCGCCAAGCTGAGCAAGGAGGACGTGGAGGCTGTGTTTGACAATGGCGTGCTCACGCTCAAGGTTCCCACGGATCCAGAGAAGCCGAAAGAGACCATCACGATCAAGCCTGGCAACTGATTTTGTCAATCTCTCAAAGAAAAAAGAATGACCGTAGCTTTGATCGATTTGATCAGAGTTTCATAGTTGTTAATGTTAACAGTGATAAACCCTACTGCTATGACGAGGAGAATGGCTGCCATGTTTTCATTGAGGACTAATTTCCTTGGCGGCCCTTCTCCGCGGCTCAAGCCAACGATTGCTACTACTGCTACAACGCTGAGCACTGTGAGAGCGCTTGCTTCTTCTTCCTCTTCTTCTCCTTCTCAAGGTAAATTTGGTGCTCTTTTCTTCTCAAGTGAAGTAACTTTATCTCCAGCTTCCGGGAGCAACCAGCATTTGAAACTGGGATTCCTGGGACTTGGAATCATGGGCACAGCAATGGCAAGAAATCTCGTGAAAGCCGGGTAAAAAATGTTATTTTTCTCTCTTTTTTCTTGCTCGATTGCTAGCATGATCCGTTTGTTTTTTTGTTGTTGTTGTTGTTGCTATATAGCTACGATGTCACCGTTTGGAACAGATCTGCGAGTAAATGCGAAGCTTTAGTGAGCGAAGGAGCAAGGTGGATCTCGTCTCTAATTGATTTGGTTTTTCCTTATGTCTTTTTATTGTCAAGACGAGGTTCCACACCAAAGAATGTCACCGAAATGTGCGACGTCACGTTTGCGATGCTTGCTGATCCAGTTGCAGCAGTAATGCACGCTCGTAAACTTTGTGGCTTGTTCCTTTACATGCTCTCACGGTGTAACTCTTTTATCTTTTGCGTTTTTTTCCTTCTTCTACATGCAGCTCGAAGTTGCTCTCGGGAGTGATGGCGCTCTTGGAGGGTTGGGCCCGGGGAAAGGGTATAACAGATTTTTGATTGAATGAAAACGTAATTTCACACAACATGACTTTGCAGATATGTTGATGTATCAACCGTCGATGCCGGGACAACTAAAACTGTATGCGAGGCAGTGAAATCTTCAGGCTCTCTCTTCTTGGAGGTATTCTTTCTTTCTAAAAGTGAGCCAACATTTTGTGGTTTTGGAAGGCGCCAGTCTCGGGATCCAAGAAGCCAGCCGAAGAAGGAAAACTTATTTTTCTAGCTGCTGGTAAGCTCTCTCTGTCTGTGGTTTTTCACCTTAGCTAGCAAAAACACATGGTAATACGTGGTATTTCAGGAGACAAGGAGTTGTATGATACAGTAGTACCAATGCTAGACGTGATGGGCAAGGTTAAGTTCGTAACAATTATTGTGCGGAAACTTCACTTATTTTTATTCTTTTAGTCGCGGTTTTACTTGGGAGCTCCGGGAAACGGAGCTGCAATGAAAATTGTTGTTAACATGATCATGGGAAGGTTCGTGTGCGAATATGTTTTTTACTCTTTTGAGGTTTTTTTTTTTTTTTTTTTTTCCTTTAGCATGATGGCAAGCTTTGCCGAGGGTCTGATGCTTGGAGACAAAGCTGGCCTTGATCCTCAAACTATACTAGAGGCATGACTTTAATCCTTGTTATTCACTCTTAGAGAATGTGACTTTCAGGTTCTATCCCAAGGTGCTATCAACAATCCAATGTTCTCCCTAAAAGGTCCAACAATGTTAGCAAGGAACTACACTCCAGCCTTTCCTTTAAAACACCAGCAAAAGGTTTGTGGTATGGTTTCAAATGCATGAGTCTAATCTTCTTTAAATTTGTAGGACTTGAGATTGGCATTGGACATGTCTGATAAGCTTTTGCAAAACATCCCAATTGCTGCCGCTGCAAATGAAGTGTATAAGGTTGCTAAAGGTAATGGTTTGGGTGATGATGATTTCTCTGCTGTCATTGAGGCCTTTAGAAATAAATGAGATTGTATATTTTTTAAGACAGTATTTTTTATAAGAATTTATACCTTAAAACAGAATATCTACTAGGAAAAGCCAGAATGATAATTAGAAACGGAATTCATTTGATTTGATCAAATTTCTTATAACCTTATTACATTATTATTTATCTTTCTAGTTTTTCTAATTTACAGGACCAAAGAAAAAAAATTTTATAATGCAAATGCAAAGATATAAACTGATTTGAGTGTTTGGAATATAGAAAAGGAATACAGAAAATATACATATCAATTAGCCTAAAAACCCTAATTTATATACAAGAGTGAATGGTCCGCATTGAAACCAATCCGATGGCTACCAAAATCCCACTACAATAATATTAATGTCATACACTTAGACCTCACATCATCCCTTCCTCTCGGAGACCCTTTTGAAAATAGGCCGAGATTTGGAAGAATGTTTGAAGGAGGCATCAATGGATTTGTAAGTGGTTTTAGTTGTTCTTGATCGTTTTGTATGAAGTGTTTCAATTGTTACACATGCACAATTTTTGGAGGATTGGCTTACTGGACATCATGCAAAACCTCATAAATTTGTAGTTCAACTTGCTGTAACACTCGATACGATCCTTTCCACTGAGCAAGGAGCCCTTTAGATAAACCATATACCGTAAAATAGGGAAAATAAACTAACACCAGGTCATCCATTTTGTATTCCACAGGTGGATGATAATGGGAGTTGTAGCACTGTTGTTGTCTCATTTATATGCGGCCTAAGTGTTTGGCAAACTCTGCTTAGACAAGTGGAAGAATGCTTGTCAAATACTGATCCCATGACCTAGCATTGGCAGCTTGTGTCGATTGCGAAGGTAAACCTAGCTCCATTAGTAATATTGGATCATGACCATATTAAAGTTTATATAGTGAAGCACCACTAGAACTCTACACCCCTATGACATATGCATACTAAAGAGATGGCAAATAATCATCCTAATCTGAATGCTGAAAGTTCACATATTTTGCGATCATTCCTTTGAATGTCCGAATGAGCCATTCCACCAAACCGTTTGACTGTGAATGATAAGCACTCGTGAAAGTGTGGAGTACCCCAACTAAGACGTCAAAACATGAAATACCTCAACCATAAATGCGAGACCATTATCCAAAAGAATCGGGATAAGAATGCTGGAACACCACTCGATTGAGGAGGAAGTATCTAACAGCAGTTACAAAGGCACTAGTAAGAGCATCAACTTCCACCCGATGAGTTAAATAATTAGAAGTAATAATAACATACTCATTGCCAACAGTCAATCGTGGAAAAGGTCCCATAAGATTAAACACCACTAACTCAAATAAACGAGAAACTACAATTGACTCCAATTATCCTTCCACAGCATGAGGGGGAGTATTACGAGCTTGGCACCAAACGTAGTTACGCACATATCGAATAACATCACGTCACATCTCCGGCTAATAGAAAGACCTGCACAGCTTCTCGGTCACACGACAATATCCCATATACCCACCTAGAACAAGAGAATCATGGTAGGCATAGAGAAACCATGGAATAAAGACGGAATGCACCATTAGCAGTAAAGGATCATCAGGATCCATCCCTACAAAATAAAGAAGGCCATCTTCAAGGCGATATTGAGAATGTAAATGCCAGAATGGCAAGTTATCAGCAAATGATGTAGGATTCTCAAACCCATCTTGAAGCCTTCAAATCCATGGCTCAAGCTTTTTAGCCACATGAACCTCATCAAGAGAAGGTAAATCTTGCTTTACACCTTGTGGACACTAAATGACAAGTACAACAACCGCCAACGGTATAGAATCCTTGTCTAGAAAATCCATAGATGCCAGAACAATAGACTTGTCAAAAACATGATAAGAGAGTGGAGAAGGAAGAAGAGTGTAAGCAATCAAAGGGAACGACTTGAGAGACGATCCATGGGGTTCAAATATAGAGAGAAAGGGCCCATGAACAAGAGTGCACCCCCTTTTCCAAACGGTTAAGGGTCTTGGGATATTTGGGGTTAAGCGTCCTTGGGTGTGAATAGTACTGGGCTGAGTGACCTCCCAGAAAGTCCAAACTTAGGAGCTTACAAGGAGTTCGAGAAAAGGCATCAACATCAGCCCTAGAACTCCTTGGGTGATGAACAATATCAAAATTATATATTTGAAGCTTCAAAACCCACTGAGTAGTATGACTAATCAAATTCTTTCACTTCAATAATGAAATAACGGTAACATGATCACTTTCAAATAACATTTGAGAACCATGTAAATATGCATGAAGTTTCTCGAAACCCCAGATTGTTGCTAAAGACTCCTTCTTTGTCATGGAGTAATTCACTTCCACTAGTTGTAATGTACGGCTTATATATGCAATGGGATGGCGTTGACCAGGCACACTCGGGCTTTCTTGCATCAACACACCTCCAAGACCAATATTAGAAGCATTCACGTGCAAAATAAAAGATCAAGTGTAGTCAAACCGAAGGAGTCATCAAAAGCTCTTTAAGATCCACAAACACTCGCTCACAATCTAGAGACCAGATGAAAGATGACATTGATGACTTCAGCAATGCTCCCAACGGTGTAGTGCGATCAGAAAGATGATCCATAAAATGACCAAGATACTGCACCTTGCCTAGGCGTTGCACATCATTCACACACTTCAAAGTAAAGAACTTTAGAATAGCCACAAGTTTGTCAAAATCAACTTGCAAACCCTCATGAGAAATACGGTACCCAAGATAAATTGTGTCCTTGGACCCAAACATGCACTTCGACCACTTTAACTTTAAATTAATGTCCCACAGCTGATCGAACACTTTACAAACATCACGAACGTGCTCCTCCCACGTCCCCTCTGAGTGGATCAAAACATCATCAATGAAGTCAGTAGTCATCTCTAGCATATCGCAAAAAACCTCATCTATCATCTGCTAGAAAGTTGCTAGAGCATTGTTCAAACTAAACGGCATTACCAAGAATTTGTACAAACAAAATAATGTATGAAAATCAGTCTTAGAATTATCTTCTTCAACCATTGATACTTGCCAATACCTAGAAGCAAGATCTAGCTTGGTGAACCAACAACTTCGTCTCAGATGATCTAAGAGATTAGCAATGTGAGGAAAAGGGTATACATTCGAGATTGTCACTTCATTTAACAAACGATAGTCGATGCAAAAACGAATACTCCCATCAAGCTTCGTCATAAGATAAAGTTCACATGCCTAAGGATTTCGTGCCTTCCAAATAACACCCTTCTTCAACATCTCTTTGACATTTGCACGTAAAATTTTGATCTCTTTGGGTGACCAACAACAAGTAAGAACCTTGATTGGACAAGCATCCCTGATTGGAATTGGATGATGTGTGGCAATCTTGGCACAGGCAATAGGTCAAATTCAAAGAGATCAAAATACTCCCTCATGAGCCGGTCAACCGCTGCAACACAAAAATTGTCGAAGGGATCGGGAAAAGGAAGAGCAAAACAAAACAGAAATATAGAAGGAAATAATGGGGGGATAAAAGTAATGGAAATAAAGGTAAAAATAAAGGGATGAAGAGGTGCAGAAGTGAGAGGAATGGATAAAATATAAAGAAGTATGAGACAAGGGGGAGAAGCCTTAAAATCATACTTAGCATGATTGCATTGTAACCAATCTATACCAAGGATGAGGTCAAAAATTTGACTCAGCACCACCCACAATGATTGCAACCCAAGCTAGAGATCACCCACACACACAACCAAGTCCACTTCATCCCATGCACATGCATATGTATGATATATGAAAAACAGTTTTAGGAATATCTTTTTTTGCCATCGATACTTGCCAACACCAGAAGTAGGATCTAACTTGGTGAACTAACAACTTCTCTCGAAACGATCTAAGAAATTAATAGTGTGAGGAAGAGGGTACACATTTGAAATTGTCACTTCATTTAACGAACGATAGTTGATGCAAAAATGAATATTCCCATTAGGCTTTGTCACAATATGAGGTTCATATACCCAAACACTTCGTGACTTTTGAAAAACACTCTTCTAAAACATGCCCAACAATGGATATCATGTCCACAACCATGTCCTCACCTTTGCTCTTGAACTTGGGCAGCAATAGCATCAACCTTCATTAAAATAAGACTATCTCCCATAAGAAGTGAAATTGAAAGATGTGCAACAAGAAGTAAAAAAGGCAAAGTCTCATAATGTTATACCAAACAAAGAGCATTGTTAAAGGTGGCTGGAGCAAGTGTATACACAGTTCCTACAAGATGTTAATAAAGTGTTAATCACAACATTCCCAACTTGATCCACTTTAATATATTTAGCTCCATATGAAACACGAAGCTTCGGAAATGAACATCAAATTGCATCATGAATTCAAATGGCCTTTAACGAAGACAATGCAATTATTGAAAGGCATCATCACAATCATTGGTATGTCCAAATATGCATTTGAAGACATTCGGGAGAATGCTCCAATCCTCACGAGTGGCTGCATTCAAACTATTGTACCATTGTAGCACTGTCTTTTGAAGATATATGAGAAACTCATACAAACATCAAGTATCATCTCAAGAATGATATATGGCAATCACCATAAAGTGATCAAATCAATTGTATACATCATCCTAGAATTCCCACAAAAGAATTCCGATTACAAGCAAGGATTGGCAACAAAAGCATGAGGAATTGTACCCTATGCTATAAATGCCACTATCAACTAAATCTGATTATTCAACTATAATTGAATAACATCAAGCAATTGCATCAACTGCTATTCTAGAGTCAAAAGAGGAGGAGGCTATTGCTCTACCATGAAAAAAAATGAAAAGTAAAAAGTAAAAGAGAATAAATTGAAAAAGCTATAAAGAAAAGGAGATTTAAATGGTGCAAAAGCTAGAGATAAACCAAAATCCCAAATCCTAACACTCCTCAAGGACAATCAAAGCTATCCCTCACTTCCACTAATGTAAATGTAAGTTTATATATAAGAGTGAGTGGTCCAGATTGAAAC